TTTTATTGTTCACTAGCTGTAGCCCGTTCGTCCGCGTAGAACATTAATTTTTGAATATAACTTTTTTTGTTCAATATTTCAAAATAAAAGTAGCCTATGTTACCCACTCCTTAGTACATCAGCTACCTACCAATAACACCTTTGCAAAATCGGTCCAGCTATTCCAGAGATTAGCCAGTACAAACAGACAGACGAGACATAAATTGTATAAAATGTTATTTTGGTATGTGTATCGTAAGTATATTCATATTAATGTGGAGTGCATGTAGTAGAAAGTGGTTATTTTAATATTATAAACAGATACTCCAATTTTATTTATGTATATAGATGTATAGTTGTGCACATTCTGCCAACCTTATTTAGGCATAATATAATTAAAATTCGGTACAAAAGATAGGTGTATTTGAAGCTATCTTATGGTAAAAATAGAACATAACTCGGACCATTGCACTCATGTCTGCACAATGTTTTAGTCATGTTTATAATACGTCAATGGCGCCTAAACACTGAATATACAATTAATGCGCATGGTACGTCGGATTGCTCATAATCATAAGATACCCAATCGTGGCGCTAGAGGGATTCGCATGCGCAAGCATCTAACAAGCGAGGATGTGGAGACTTTGCTAGATGAAGTAAAAATTATCCCTATAAATTATAGGAAAATAATTCTGTTTGTCATTTTATAAACCAATATGATCCAATTTGGACTAGTTAGAACTTGGAAAAAGATTACTTATAAGATAACTTGCCTTTTATCATTCGTTTGGTAGAATTTTACGCGAGCAGGAAGCTAGTAATATTATATCTAGTATATCCATTTTTTTAAGACATTACTCAGGTACTTAACCGATAATGACATATAATCAAATTATCAATAGACATATATTTTTTAATCAATAAATACTGTTAAAATACCTTATTTTGTTTTTCATTGAGTGATAAGATCAATTAGTTGAACCTAATTGTGATTAACTGTTACAAAAAAAAATATAAAAAAGTCTACATTGATAATTGGTTTCATTGATTGTACACCTTAATATCACTAGTTATTAAAAAATCCCTTGAAGTAATAAGGATGAGGTACAAGTGTATGTTATATTAAATGTTACACTACTGTTATGTTATGAGTCCAATGTAAAAGTAGGTTAGACTATTGCCATAAATCGGATGCAATATCAGACTCCATATTATTATTAAGTACTATTATTTTTTTAAAAAAAGCTCATAAAACCCAATGTTGCTTTGCATGATCCAGATAAGCAATCCAAGACTCTTCCCTGTATCATAATTATCATCATCATATCAGCCACAAAACATCCACTGCTGAACATAGGCTTTCCCCAATGACTTCCAGATCGAATGGTTGGAAGCAACTTGCATCACTGTAATTAACAATACTATCTTACCTGTAGAATATAAAATATGCGACTGCCAGCAGCGCAAATCCTCCAAACACGATGAACCCTCTTTTGAGTACTCCGGGATTGTTGAGGTCTATCTTAATTGGTTTGTCCGTACTCGTTGCATTTAATTTAGTCTCGTTGACCGCTGGAGCAGGAGCTGGATTCACGACTGTTGCATTGCCTGTAATTATTTAAAGATAGCAATTATTACAATATTCTACTTGCATTGTTATATCAGTCTTACCAGTCTTGACAAAGTCTGTGTTTACGCTGGTAGTGTTTTACCACTATTGGGTTTTAATACAAAGCAATCATCACATGTAAAATATTAATATTCAGTTTGAATTTAGTTTAGGGTCAATGCCCCTTAAACTGTCAAACACCAAGCGGTCACCGGTGACCGCAACCTATTGTTCTTTAATTGTGTCTATAAATACGGTCCTCGACGAGTTAAACACTAAGTAAAGGTCATTTACCAAAAACCACTTTATATTTTTAACGAGAGCACAAAATCATTAATCAGTCATTTCATTATTTCCTGTAAAACTATGTAGGAACATGAAATATTTGACACATCATTATAGCAATCATACAAATTTACAGTTGATTATTATATTGTGTGTATGAAGTGCAATGACCAATTTTAGATGAGTTAACAATAATAAATAAAATATGACGCAGCAAATTTTAAAACCATTCATGTTTATTATTTCCGTCTAAACTTCTGCTAACTTCAAACACTTCATATACACTTGTATATAATAATATATCATAAAAAAATATGTCTGTAATGTTTTAAAATAATCCACCAAACGGACATTAAAATAAAATGTAGGATACTCTATTCATATTGTTTCTCTTTATATAAGAACAAAGTTATAAATATATTTGTCTAGAATTTGTCCCTACTTACGAATGTATGTTTTTTAGCATACATTTGGTCATGCCCATCTTTCATCAAGGTAACTACAGACAAGCAATTGATTATTGGAATTACTCTCCTCCTTCACTTAGGTATAATTCATTGTATATATTATATTCTCTTCATGTATATTTGTTGAAAATAACTTTACTGTCGGCTCTTTTTTTCACTATTTACTTTTCATAATAGGCATAATACATTTAACACTAATAGGTATACACTGCATTAATAAAACATCATGTGTTAATGAGAACTATAAAGGGCAGTTAACAATGGTTCTTGAAGAATGACTCACAATACTCTGAAAAGAATGAATAAACAATACACAAGCACTAGAAAAAGTACTGAAAAATGAATAAGAATATAATAACAATATGTTTTTCTAGCATTTGTTCATGTTATATTTTATGTTGTAGGTACATAAAACTAGAATAGAAAATAGCAAATAATAAAAAGTATGTTAAGTCTTGCCTCATGATTACACAATAAGTAAAAATAATTGGCACAGCACAAGAAAATAAAAAATAGATTACAAAAGAAATCTTCATTTTCATAAATAAACATTTATTCTAATTGTGAAAGGATTAAATAATTAATTAGATATATCACAAAGCTAAGTCATCACAAACATGTTATGCAATTAAATTCTCATACATTAAATGTGAGTTTAGTGTATGTTTAATTAACTAGGAGATAAACAAACCTAATCTGAACTAATTGGTCAATATTTATAATAGAAAATACGAAAATAAACGTCATATTATAGACCAACAACGAACACGCTGTTTCCCTGCAAACAGTAACAAAATGCTATAAGATGAATGACCATAACTAGATACAATACTTAGACTTAAAGAGTCAAACTCCCCATTTGTAGTAATCTAACAGGAAACATAAAAGGATTGCTAGGGAACTGTAGTTTAAATAGCGAAAGAGGATAATGTTTGGCAATAACAAGAATTATTCGGTCTCACCACTGGCTGGCGGCGGTGCCGGTGGGTCGGATGCCACTTTTTCTTTCGTTCCATTTTTAACTTCAACTGCCACAGGAGGTTTAACATCCCCGATGGCGCTGTCTTCTCGGCAGTCGCAACGACGTTTGGCCCACCCTCACTCTGCACAACAGAACCAGCCTCAGCCTCTCTCCTCACTCTCATTAACTTCGCAGCATTGTGTACAGAAGGCCACAGTGAAAACCTTCTATTGAATTCTGCAACACGAGCTCTTGTTGCCCCATCACTAATATACTCAGTCGTCCTCACACAGTTCAAACACAATAACAAGAGACCACAACGTATAAGCATATTGAATTATTTCAGTTTCTCTACGATAAACTAAGACCACTGTTTGACTAAATGAGGTGATTCACTCCCTCATAATTTTTAATTTAAACTTGTGGATAGTTTCCGACAAATTCGCAACGCATCAGGTTGATTGACGATTTGACATTGACGTAACAAACTGTCAGCCATATGGTTGACGTCAATGTCAAACTAACAAAACCATTGAGGCAAAAACAAACTGTCGTGTGGTATTGTGTGACTAAGTTTTAGTCGATTTTAAAATAAATAATAATTCTACATTGAATATTGATTAATTGAATCGATGCCGTATTTTGTAGTAAGTACACACATTTAATTTAAATTGTTAATTATTTTTGCGACATTTTTCGCTGCAAATAATGTAAAGAAGAAATAGGTAACACTAATTTCTTAATAAAAATAGCCCTATAAATGATTTAAATAGTCCAAAATGTTAATTTAAACTGTCAAACACCAAGCGGTCACCGGTGACCGCGACCTATTGTTCTTTAATTGTGTCTATAAAACCGGTACTCGACGAGTTAAATGAACGATATATTGTTATTGTTGATTAATATTATCGCTTATTTTTTTTTTTTTTTTAATGAATAAAAGAAACATAACATTACATCACGCCTTTATCCCCAAAGGGGCAGGCAGAGGTGCACAATAAGCCATTGTACAAATGTAACACCCACTTTTCAGTAGGTATATGTGTTATGAGTCCCATGTAATAGGGGGTGAGCCTATTGCCATATACCGGGCACAATAATTCCAGACTCCGAGCTACTACTGAGATTTTTTTAAAACCCAGTAATACTTTTCCCGACCCGGGAATCGAACCCGAGACCCCTTGCCCGACAGTCGCGCTTGCGACCACTCGGCCAACGAGGCAGTCATGATAATGAATAACCAAATTGCAAATTATTTATCAATGCAGAACTACATTCCTTATTAAGTAAAAACGCGGGTTCTCTCGGAACAACAGTTATTGTTCCGAGTTTATACTCTTTGGTGGCATTGCGTCCGCCTTTTTTTGAACGTCCTTGTGAATATAAAGAATATTCGCACAGCAAATCAACTTCAAGAATAGCTAGGTCATCATTTTTTCTACGTCCTTGGCTCATATCTACTGGGTGACCAACTGCTGTTCAATATGTCACGGGTTCGGCTCCCGCCTGAGGAGCTAATGTATTGTTCAGATTTTTTTAGTATGGTTTAAGTAACAAATGAGCAGATAGATCACCCTGATGCAAATTAGGCAGACTGGCCAATAAGATTAATAATAAACCGGTAACTTTATTTTATATCGCCCCAAGATAAACAAGAAGTTATTTGGTATGTACCTAAATTAAAATAAAACGAACAATCACGTATAAGTATTATTTAATTTATTCAAATAGACATTTACATGTATTAATTATATATTTTAAAGTAGAATTTCCAAATTTTTGGTATCTATATAACACTGATCGAGTATCCACATAGGTATGATAATAATGTTAAAACCTAGAGTTACAAACATCGGTACATTTGTTCCAAACATCAAGGTACACATTAAATATCACCTACAAAATTGAACAAGTTAGAAATAGTATAGGTTTATCAAAGGACTTACTAACAATAATAATCTATTGTTAATGTTAAAATATCGGCAGTGATGAGACAAGCCAAACACGCTGGTTGGTGTTGCTAACAATAAACATGTCGAGACCCATTAAATCAATAAATTTCTCAAAAATCAATACGATTGAGCTCTTTTTTCTTATTTTCTTTTTTATATCCACTGTTTACTACTAATTATAAACATTAAAATATGTATTTTAAATCAATCAGAAACTAACTACAATCACTCGAAATCTCACGTTGTAAGCACACGGTACTCTCAGACTCTAGAGCAATAAATTACGATTTTACCTTAAAAGTTAATTTACAAAATTAATAAATATAAACAATTGAGTATGAACTATTTATACAAAATCCATAATATAGAAATGATATCACGTGAAAATCACGATTGACCATTGCATTACACAAATAGACAGATATTGTAAATTAGTCAGCCTATAAAAATAGATTGCACATAAATCATTTACGAAAATATTTTACTGAGAAAATTTTCAAACGTACTTAGCGTTATACTTGATGCTGTGAACTTAGTCCCATGTTAAAACTTCGCAAATTGTAATCGATTTTATAAATGACTAATACATAGAAGATTTTTTATTCTAACAACATCTAATAATGTTGCTAGTGCATGTAACTTATTACTAGATCTAGTGTTACCACATTTCTGAACTTGCTAACGTCAGCGCTATAAAATGTGCTTGTTTTTTATTGATAAAAAATTTACATTTTTATGGCCCCTTTGCAATAAAAATGTCTCCTAAACTCAAATACCCAAATGATCCGTATAAAGCGGCGCTCTGCAGCTCAAGCGGCAGGTCTCTACTCCATCTCTAAGTTAAGTACGTTTAATTAGATATAATTTTCGACACGTCAACTACCCCCTTACGATACCACATAATATTAAACTTTTATAGTAATCCTACTTCTTTACCTCAAATTTATGTTGGCTAATAAATCTTCTGAAACGTTAATATAATAATTAATTTATATTAATTAATTTTATATCTTATATACTTTAGATACGGATTTAAATAGACACACAAAATGGCTCCCATTTTGTGCTGAAATGTTAAATTCATCGACAACATGATTGAAGTTAATTATGAATTATAATTAATGAAACAACAACAAAGAATGCTAGTCGCAGAGAAGACAGATTTTGTTTGAGATTCAAACTGTTCCAGAAATGTAAAATATTGTCAAATTTTTAATGAAGCCTTAACCCTAAAACCATGGCACACAAATTATTTCTAACAAAGGAGGGAACTTTTCACAACTGGGATTTTTCAATTTTATTATCGTGTTTTCGATTAAAACGCTCTCATACAACTTCAAAATGAAGATAGCAAGTAAGTATAGAATTCCGAAATCTGAGCAAATCTGTTTACGTATCTATTAAAGAAAAATGAGCTGAAAATATGTATGCTTGGTCGCTTTAAAGTCTCCACAGTCAGTCTTTCAAGAAACCTAATTTTTATTGAAACTGTAATAGAATGGAATGTGAAAGATAAACGAAGTATGAAAGAACCGCAAATAATAACCAACATATCGATGATCCATAGGGTAGGTAGGTCCAGGTGATTACTTCGTGTCAACTACAATACTTTCCGGGAGAGCAATTACTTATTCACTTCTACATTGTAAAATGCAATGTTTACCATCCTAAATTCGTCACACCTATACTAACACTTGAAATAGCAAGATGATTTTGAAAACTAGCAATAATTTTATCCGTTCTACCTACAAAAAATTGCTGTCCCGGATGAGGACGAATCCGTAATTGTCATCCCAAGTTGCATTAGGATGTTGTTGATTGGACTTAGGTCTCCAATTTAATTAGTTCCAATTGCTCACTCCAGGCGCGCTTTGTAGCTGGTCTTCCAAATTTCGGCAAGGGTGACAGCTGAGTGGAAGCGGTGGAAAATGCAAAGTGGCAGAGTGAAGCGCTGGACGAGAGACCAAGCCACGAAACCGTAGAAATCAAGTTGAACCTGAAACAATATTATAGAGTGGTTAGTACTGAGTAATAAAAATATTAAAAACACAGATTTATTCAGTGTGAATAATATTTACCGGGTTAGCGAGGACTTTTTGGGCTTCAAAGGTGTAGATGAGCCACATGGTGACGTTGCAGATAAGGAGGAAGGTGACGGCCTGACGGGCGGGCTTGCTGCGTTCTTGTTCAGGCAGGTGGACACGGCGGCGAGAAACATCAGCGATGAAGAGTAGTTGCAGAACCACCTAATTGAAATGAAATACAAAATTAGCGATATTTTCACACCATTAATCATTAAATTTATTTATTGGCCATCCGTTGTTTTACCTGAAGCACGCTCAAGCAGCCAGTAATCATGACAAGAAGGTTTGGCTCGTGGGTGAAGGCTCCCATTCCACCAGCGATGACGCTGAACACAGCGTACACGAAGAGACCAAACGCAGAAACACGCAGCAGGATGTCGTTCAAGTCGGACTGTTCCTCTGAGCGGAACTTCAGAGATTGCACCCTGCGGAGAGGCTCGGTATAGGAGGGAGGAGTATTGCTCCATTTCATTACACGACCACTAATTATTATAATAGGAAGATGACAACCAAAAATGGTAAATAAACAATGAAAAAAAAAAAGAAAAAAGGATTTGTGATAAAAATAGAAAAATGCATTGGAGGAAATTGAAAATTGTAAAAATGTGTTTGATGTGCAAATAAACAAAAATCAAATTGGAGCCAGTTACGATATAAAGGAAATACACAAACAGGAAAAGGACAAAGGAGTGAATGGAAAGGGAGAAAACAAAAAAAATATAATTAACACAAAAACTAAAATCTAAAAACCAAAACATGAAAAACTAAGGTTAATAGTGTCTAAACAGGTGCTCTATTATCTATATCTATATTCTAATTACTTACCGTATGAATCCGATTAGAATCGCCAGTATAGAAAGAACCATCAGAGCACAGTGAGACACATCGGCCAAATAGATCGAGAGGCGCTTCAACTCCTGGTGTCTTATCAGGACGAAGAAGAGTATCAAGCAGATGAGGGAGGCGACGAGCAGTAGCAGTCCACAGAAGAGACCCTTAGAGGCTCCGGCACAATCGACACGGTTACCACGCTGAGCCGCTGCAAGCGCTGCCGCCCTGCGGGAGAGAACAGCCTCCAGACGTCTTTCCAGATCTTCATCGTTGGCCACGCTGCAACCAAACGCGTGCAAAGTCACGGACGCGTTGATATTTCTTATTCTTTGTCTACTCTAAACGTGCTCTAGTGTTCGCAATGGCCATGGGGAGCGTGACTAGTGTTATGTAAAACTATTTTCCAAAAAGGTGGTTACGAAAGGTTAGATTGTTAATTGCAATTTTAACTTGTAATAAATGGTAGTTATCTAAAGTGTGATCAATGTTATTCTACTTTTGGGGCCAAGTTATGGATTATGGAATTTACATAATACAAAATGACTATAATATTTACCTGGGGTAGCGGCCAATATGCTTCCACATAACGTAAATGACGGCGGCACCGATGAGGGAGTATTCAATGATGAACGGATACAGATAAGGTGCCGAGTCGGTTACGATAGTGCCCATAATTGGGTTTCGGCCGCACACTGTAGTATTATCGATATTGGCGATCAGCGCAGCTGGATTGAGACCGTCGAATGACTCGAAGATTTCTGACGTGTTGGTCACTGAAATAAAAATGTTCACTATCTTAGATTCTCGTCATTACATCATTTTATTAATTAAAAAACTAATCTACACATTAAAACTACAATCATCATTTGCTATTCTGATTTATTTGTATGTAGGTATATATGAATTGATTATCCTTTAATATAATTGACCAATGCTGACGAATTCGATGTTAGAAATATTATAATATAAAATAGCAAATGATTTAGGCGTCAATTAGAAAAATAATTAACATGCAAAAGATGAAAAATAAATATTCTCCTAATAAAAAACAATGTGGGAACTCAGGTGCAACGGACGCGTACGCGGGGTACGTATACGCAACGAACACAAATAATATGATAAACCGCAAATAAAAAGTGCAACGGCGTTTATACTTGGAAATAATTCAATGCGACACTCCAACGACCAACCTGGCGAATGTGGCGGTTCATCTACCCGATAGTTTCGACACTATTGCCCCACTCGTCTCTATCAGTTAATATCGGTGCGGAAGTAGTACTTGGCATCATAGTCGATATAGCGCTAAGAATCGGTTTCAGAGTTGAAGTGCGAAGCCACTGGAAGACTTCTAGCATGGCCGTCTGTGTCTGAGTCACTTTATCGGACTCCGTTGTTAGTGGTGCAAAAGATGTCGTAGTAAACGGATTGTCATTAGGCCATTCTCTGAATTCGCGACCATATCCCATCCCGTTGTCGTAACCTACCGTACTCTTAAGAGTTTCGATCAGTTTTGACTTAGGTAACCCACCACCCATGATATTATATGATGAGAGGGTAGTAGCTGAAAAATTAGTCCAAAACACATTTTAGTTGACATACATGCATATGTTAGCTGAACAGGGATGATGGTAGTAAAATTGATACATATGAATACTAACTTGTGGTAGGAGTAGTGGTAGGAGCGGCTGTGGAAGTGACAACGTTCATGAGTTGCTCTCCAGTGGTCTTAGCGGTGGTTAAAACAGTAGATGCGATAGAGGTAGCGGCTGTGGTAGCTGCACCGAACACTTTACCGGAATGCCTCAGAGTGTGCTTACGGATGACTTCTGGAGATGTACGATTCATTAGTCACAAATACATAGTATACAAAAATGATACAATGAACAAATATGTATAAGCAGATAAATTGCTATGGACTAGAAGGATATAATTATGTGTTTTTTAGACACAAAAGCAAAAGTACTTTCTTGGAGAGACTGAACTGACTTACTTCCTAACACGCCTTCTCCTGAGTAACCATGAGGATTCTTAACGTGGTAATCGGTGATTTCCTTCAATGACTCCAGCACCAAAGTACGAATCCAAACGCAAATGTTTGTAGCAACTACATGCATCAGACCGAACCGAGCGATGACTTTGAATCGATGAATGTTCAGCTAAAAAATAAAAATAAATATCAGTCACTGTTCAAACTTACATTACTTTCAATTTTGCAATAAGTATAAACAATATTTACCCGAGAATTCATGAAAATGAAATACATTTGCATGAATGTAAACACCATCTGCAAGACGGGGTTGACGCCTTTCAAGATTAAGTAGCAGGGCGACTCTAGAGGCAATTCGAAGAAGGTGCCAAACTCCAACCCGTTGTAGATCATAGTCCCGAGACCAAAAGCTAAAATGAATAACAAAATGACATAAGGAATTGCTCATCGTAGCTAAGTCATTGATAACGTAGGATTTAATTTAATATAAGTACCAATAACCTAAGTCGTATTATATGTATAAAATATCTGAAAGTGTATCCATACCAATTGCTCCAATCCTAAGGAAGAAGCTGCCGTGGCTGTGATCATTCTGAGAAGTCTTGCGCCTGCGAACCGGTCTCGCAACAGGGCCTGCCTCCAGCTCCACAATATCTTGTTGTTGCTGTTGTTGTTGCTGCAATCGTACAGTTATACAAATGTTAATAAACCATACAAAAATGTCGTATCAAGGCCTGGAAATTCTTACACTTCGTTCATGTTACAAGTTATTATTATTTTGGAGATTGACATCTTTTTGTCTGAAAACAAAGTGGCAATCGCAACTAGCGTAGAAACAATTAGTAAATCTAAATGAAAATTGGAATCAGTTGTTGTTATTTTCAAATCAGGAAATATCGATGCATTCTACCATTAAGTATATCTTTAGATCAAGTCTCATGACTTTCAGTGTGAATACGAAGCCTACATGAAAGCAAGGTGATCCAATAGCGAAAACAGAAGCAGTATGAACAGACGAACTACGACAGCACATCCAAAGCACTCCGTATGATATGATACACTCAAGCAGGATGCGTCAAGATACCTCACCTGGTCAGACGCATACAATTGCGCCATTTGCAATTGCAATTGCTGTTGACGAACTTTATCACGCATCTTACGGGGATACACCTCCTGCCCAAATGATATGGAAAAAACAAAAAAGTAGGCAGCGTAAACAAAAAGGGGTTCATGCGGCCTGATGACGGACGAAGCGTTGACCATGATATTTGTGAACGGCCAAATAATAAAATTGCGAATAAGTGCGTATCACAAAAAGTTAAATCAAATTAAACAAATCACATAATTCAAATTAATAAAATAAACATATGTGGTTAACTAACACAGGACGACACGCGAAAGCGATAAGAGAATGTGTAATAATGTTAAATACAAAAATAATGGATGTGCTGTGTATGATGGTGTGATGGAATCTACTACTCACCTGGAATTGACTTTGTTTCTTAGCCTCTTTGGATGCCTTGTCTTTTTCCTCCTTGTCTTTGCCTTTGTCTTTAGACTTGTTATCTTTCTTTCCTTCCTTTTTATCCTTGCCTTCTTTTCCATCCTTTCCTTCCTTGCCTTCCTTCGCTTCTTTGTCTTTGGTTTTCTTTTCCTTTTCCTTCTTAGTTTCTTCTCTTTTGGCGGGGGCTTCGGTTTAGGAGGACTTCCGCTGCAGCATGCACTCTCTGTCCAACGCAGATCAAATTGTTTACGACATATATAATAAAGTGTTTGAGTTTAAAACTATATTTAAAGAAAACATTACTAACCTTGGAGTAAAAAGCAGAAGACGTACAACAAAAACAGAATGCTCATGCCATACAGGTAGGTGAAGAACCCCTCGTAGTAATAGAGGGGGAGGTTGTGTGTGATGACATCACTGATGACGTAAGCGATACACACAACAACCAAGAGCTTGGCGTAGATGAAACTCGAGATGATAAACAGTGAAGTTCTGTGAAAGAAACAAAACAATTCGTTGAGAATCGGCAAAGTTTTCAAATAGCGCATTAAAGAAATTTTGTTCAGAACTTTCAAAGTGTTATTGTACGTAGGTATGTATTGAGATTCTGGAATAGTCAATTTATTTTTGTTATCACAGTAGGTTCACCCTTACTCAGAATGTTTTATAAAACTATTTGAATTCGGTAATATCACATTTACTTATTTCTAATAATGCCCATCAAGCAAAAAACAATTTATTTCATCAAATATTATGTACATAAAAACAAAATTTTAGAAAGAGGAAGGACCTTTTAACTTAAGCAAGAGTATGCTAGTGGTAGGTACCTAATAATGCACATTAGTCCTATTATTATTTAAAATCACACACACGCATAACAAAGCAATATGCGCACCTAAAATAAGTTCCGAGTACAAAGACATTGATTTCATACTAAACCCAGTTTATTACGTACCTATATATGACATAAACAAAGGTATGTACATTGTACATACTTGATTTTATAAACTAAACTTTTTAAATTGTAGTTCAAGGCACCTAAGTGTGTATTTATTTAAAAAAAAAACTAAGTAATTCGGCTGACTTACAACTAAAAATGTTAATTTATTTAATTACTTATGCAAAAAAAAATTATGAGGAAAATAAAACAAATAATTTCGACTATAATTTTGAATCGATAAAGATAACACTATCTACATGGCTACAGTAACATACTTCTTAGACGGCTTAGGCTGGACGCACTTCAGCTCCATCTCTTTGTTCGCATTGTTGTGCTTCTCAGCAATCGCCATGTCACTGCCCTGCTGCCGGTGCTGGCCCACCGGTAACGTAGCCATGTTGTCCACAGACTCCAGCTCCACCGTAGCCACCTTCACTTCAGCCTCCGTCGGCTGGTGCTTATCTTTCCCCATCACTTATTACACACTTAGGACGTCAATAGGACTTACAGGGTGTCCATAATGGAATACTCAGGGTTAAGGACAGGTATAGGATCGAGGAACGCGTTAAAAGACCTCCGGAAGTATTGAGGTGCGGCGCCGAACCGTGCCTCTAGCTCGAGTGTCCCGAGAGTTGCGCAGTAATGGATGCTGCGCGCCGGTCGTACTCCCAAAACAGGGGCGTCACCGACCCTCCGAGCACACCCCATTTTGTATAAATTGCACTCTTTAATAGCAAGAGGGGCTTTGTACCGCTTATAGAAGGATTGTCGAGATTCTTATCTCGTATGCAATGTCTGTTTATTTTTTGTGTTGACCAGTTTTTGAACTGCACGTCTTGGTGCATTATTTTGTTACAGAAATCATATGCACACAATACGTCTCAGATACAGAAAAGCTGTCCTGAACAGAGATGAAGGAATGATTTTATTTTTATTTAATTTAAAGACTTTTTTACATAAAAATCATTTTCCCATTGAACTTCAACATGGCATCCAGCTTAGTCAAAGCAACAATCACAGCAATCTTAAAAATTTTATACAACACCGAAATTGTTTTATTATACCCATAACTAAATTTCCCAAAAGCGAATTTTGGCAGCCCTACGGTGGCGGCACGCGGTCGATAGAGGCGCGTCTCTCCCGGAAAGCTCTGGGAGGCTGCGCGAGCGACCCACTGACCCGGCCATACCCCATCCCACCAACACACCCCATGAATACTATTCCGAACCCCAATACTGCACATGCAAGTGTAATATCCACATTAATTCCCACCTACAACTCAATAAACAAACGAACGAATCGTAGGGAGAACAAAGGGGAACGAATCGTTGTTAGATGGTTTGTGTTTGTTTTGCTGACTAACCTTGAGAACTGCTGAGCTGGTTTTGATAAGACTTTTCGATTTTATAAGATAACAATTAGTACCAAATTACCTAGACGTATTTTAGACTACGTATATTCTTCCAAAAAAATATACGGTAGTAAAGATTTAAAACTATATAAGTTTATATATGATACTCTATTAAAATAAATTGTGTTTGTAATGGCCGGATGAAAGCTACGGTGCGCATGCGCGATCCGATGTTCCGAAGCTTACGAGTTCATTGAACCAATTCAAGTAGTGCCAAGTTTACTATTTGTTATTTTTACGATATTGTTATCGGTTAATAGTAGAACTATTTTTAAATCACGCTGTATAACATCGTGAATAAGATTTTTATGGCCATAATGGTGATACATATTTATGACTTAGGATCATTTTAGTATAGATTAGGACTATTAAATAACTAGTACATATATTGAATTGAAACAACATCAGAACCCGAAAATAATCATTATTATTTGTGGAATAGGGTACCTAAATCTGTATATCATTTCAGTTTAAGACTTATAAAATTATAATTAAATCAAATCAAACACCAAGCTATAAAAATTACATACAAATATCCAAGAAAAAATACCAAAATAGAACCCCAACCTCTATAAATTACCCCAAAATACATAAATAGAAATAAAAATCAAAGAAAATCACTATAAATCGCAATATAGTTACTAATTACTTAATGCGTTCATTAATGTTAATTAACTACATGCCAAACACGAATTCAGACGTTTTGAGCCGTAACCACTCGGCAATTGCAAAACCATGACGGTTATACGGAGCTCTGATTTTAGTTAAGACACTATAATTAGTGGTGACCCAGAGACCAACTGCTAAAATCGTCACATGCAATGCTAACGCTGGAGAGGTGACGCAACAGTCACTTGGTCACTTTTAGCACTATTTTAACCTCGTTTTGAGCCTGGATTAAATAGGTACTTGGAGAATAATGTTGGTTAGATTTTGTGTTAACATAACATCACGCCTTTTATCGCCGAAGTAGTTAGCAGAGGTGCACTATACGGCACGCCACTGATGTAATACCCACTTTTTACTATTTATGTTATGAGTCCCAGGTAATACTGGGCACAATTCCAAACTCCGTGCTACTACTGGGATTTTTTTTAATAACCCAGTAATACTTTGCCGGACTCGGGAGTCGAACCCGACACCCCTTGGTCAGCAGTCACACTTGCGACCACTTGGCCAACGAGGCAGTCATTTCAGTTTATCTTTGACAAAGAAGCGAAATTTACAATCTGTTAGAGGTTAACTATCAGAGAAAATGTATTAATTGGAATTGCATATTGTGAGTTGTATTACCTACTAGCTACTTCCGCGCGGTTGCACCCGCTCTGCTCGGCTCCTAATGATTATAGTGTGATGTTTTGTAGCCTATAACCTTCCTCGATAAATTTACTATCCAACACAAAAAGAATTATTGAAATCGGACTGGTAGTTTCAGAGATTAGCGGGTTTAAACTAACAAACAACTTTGAAGCTTTATAATATTATACCATAGATTATTGTATTTTAATATTAGTGTTATTGCTAAGTATCTATGTTTACTTTTAAATACTATATCAGAAATAGAAACAAAATTACCAAATAAACTGTTTTAGACATGTTTTAAATTAAGCACACGTGTCTATTATTCTTATGCAACAATTTGAAGTCTTTATACATAAGATAGCATTGTTAGGTATCACACCAAGCCGGTCACTGAACTTCAAACTTGAATTGCTTTATATTTGACGCTTCCATTTAGAATGACAATACCTATAAAGAAAATATCCCTCACTTCAACGAAGAAAGACGATTTGCAGAAACTCTTTTGAAGCGAAGTTTCATTGAAACGCTCTGTGACCCATTTTATGAACCCGTTGTGTGATAATGCTACTTTATTAGGGTTCAACGCGAATTATACTATTGCATACGGATCTGTTTATCGATGTTTTTAAACCTTTCGTGAGACATACTAGTTAAATAAATTATTATGTTTTCGGCTTACTCACGTAATAATTTGACGAGGAACTCGACTAGTTTCAAGCCACGCTAGAGGCTCATGCTATATTCGCCGATACCACGAATGGAAGAAAGTGCGCGTGAATCACGGCAGAGGGCGCGCTGGGCCCGCACACTCGAGTAGCCAGTAGCAGCGCGACAGTCGCCGCGTCGCGGGTCGCGAAATGCTGCTCATGAATATGAGCCTCTAGCATGGCTTGAAACTAGTCGAGCTCCTCGTCAAATTATTACGTGAGTAAGCCGAAATCATAATAATTTGTTTTAAACCTTTTCTCTTTGTTTATTTTCTCTTGAAAGATGGGACATTTTTCATTGCTTTTTCCCGATTTAGCTTCTCTGCTAAGCTAATACAAAAAAAAACGTACATATCTTGTCATTTAACGAATGTCTAAACCTTACGGCTTATAAATGCTAGTCTATATAATATTTAAATGAATTTCCTGCACTGGACTGGTACAAAATACGGTAGAATATGACGGCCATAAAATATTAATATTATCATAGAATACATTCAATACTCCGGCTTTTAATGGCGATTTCAATTGCTTCGAGTAACGATTTAATATTATTTTATGTGCAGTTCGTAATGTTAGTTGTTAGTCAGTGTTGTATGATAAAGAGAGAATTAAAGGTTTGTTTTTATTTAAACTTTAATGAGTAAGGGTTCTGGAATTAATCAAGTCTTTCTTTTAAGTGTGGGAGAGCCATGCTTCGGCACGAATGGGCCGGCTCGACCGGAGTGATACCACGGCCTCACAGAAAACCGACGTGAAGCAAGGCATGCGTTGTGTTTCGTAGTGTGAGTGAGGTTAATAGAGGCCCAATTACCCTCCCCTTCCCCAATCTCCCCAATTCCTGAATCCCTAACGATCCTCAAACTCCTAATCCCCAAAAGGCCGGTAACGCACTTGTAACGCCTCTGGTGTTCCAGGTGTCCATGGGCGATGCCGATTGCTTACCATCAGGTGATCCGTCTGCTCGTTTATCGGCTTATGACATGAAAAAAGTCTATTTTAAAAAATCAACTTAAGTTTGTTTGTTTATGACTCAAACTCTTAGAGGATTAAATAGAATACAGAAAGCTACTTAAACTTCATCAACAACCATCCATCATTGTCATCCTTATTCTCTGATAAACGAAGTCCAGTCCCTCAAGCTTTTTTTTATACATAAAATATATTATAGAGGTACATAAAAACTTTCCTTAAGAATCACTCTATCTATTAAAAAAACCGCATCAAAATCCGTTGCGTAGTTTTAAAGATCTAAGCATACATAGGGACAGACAGACGGAGGATAGCGACTTTCTTTTGTTCTATGTAGTGATAAATCGACATGTACTATGTTTGTATACTGCACATATGTGTACATAGATATATAAAAACACTAATTTACTATTACAGAAACAAATAACCAGCAATTATAATCATTATAATGTACAACGGACACTCAATAAAGACGACAACTGTGTGCCTTGACGGAACAATTACTTGCATTTAAATCTATGACATAATCTTTATTGCTATCGACCTTGTAGTACCTATAGAATGACTATTTAAATATTGTGTTGTTTACATTGTTAAACTGCAACCGAGATGTATGCTTGCCAAATTATGTAGTGTTTCTCAAAGATTTGTTAGCTGAACGCATTGTTATGTGTTAAGCATATTGCTACTAAACACACGGACGGCGTATCTACTTATGTACTTTTGTAGTGTTTTACACATAAATTAAAAAAAACTATACCTAGGTTCTGTACTTCCTATATGAATATATGAGACTGACGTTTGTGATCAAGAGTTTAGTTGAATCGACAAAAAAAAAGGGTTTGGTGCTCAGTATATGACAATAGGCTCACCTCATAGCATAACTGATGACAAGTTGATGTTACATTGTACTTATTTGCACCTCTATGTACTGAATTCGATTCTCCGATTCTCACTCCTAAGCTTTAATAACACTTTTCTGAAAACAGCATCAAAATCTACTCAGCCAATTGCAAGATAATCGCAGAGATACACATCAGGTAAAACTGAGAACCTGATTTTTTTTTGTTTTAGGGAGTT